CGGTCGTGACCTGGGGCGATTCTGAGTACGGTGGCGACAGCAGTGTTGTTCAACATCAGCTCAGGGACGTGCAGCAGATCCAAGCTACTGACACAGCCTTTGCTGCCATCCTTGGCGATGGCTCCATCGTGACCTGGGGCGATGCCGGCGGCGACAGCAGAGATGTGCGTGCTCAGCTGAAGGATGTGAGGCAGATCCAAGCTACCACATCGGCTTTTGCTGCCATTCTGGGCGATGGGTCTGTTGTGACTTGGGGCCGTGCTGAGCAGGGTGGCGACAGCAGAGCGGTGCGAAGTCAGCTCAAGAACGTGCAGCAGATTGTAGCTTCCAGTGATATGTTAGGCGTTGCTTTTGCTGCAATTCTTGGCGATGGGTCTGTTGTGACCTGGGGCGAAGCTAAGAGTGGTGCCGACAGCAGTGCTGTGAAAGATCGGCTGAAGGACGTGCAGCAGATCCAAGCCACCAGCCATATGTTAGGCTGTGCTTTTGCTGCCGTTCTGGGCGATGGGTCTGTTGCAACTTGGGGCGATGCGAAGACTGGTGGCGACAGCAGCGCAGTGCAAAGTCAGCTGCGAGATGTACAGCAGGTCCAAGCCACCACATCGGCTTTTGCTGCCATTCTGGGCGACGGGTCAGTCGTGACCTGGGGCGATTCTCAGTTTGGTGGTGACAGTCGAGATGTGAGTGCTCAGCTGAAGGACGTGAGACAGATTGAAGCTTCCAGGTTTGCTTTCGCCGCCATTCTGGGCGATGGATCTGTTGTGACCTGGGGCCGTGCCTTCATCCCCCTTGGGAATCATTTTTTATTGTTGTTTATATGAAACCCTAAACCCTAAACCCTAGGCCCTAAACCCTAAACCCTAAACCCTAAACCCTAAACCCTAAACCCTAAACCCTAAACCCTAAACCCTAAACCCTAAACCCTACTATGGGGCGCACAGGTGCTGAGCATGGTGGTGACAGCAGTGCGGTGCAATGTCAGCTCAGACCGTAGCTTCCAGCAGCCCTGGGGCGATGCTCGTGGCGCCCAGTTTAGGGTTTAGGGTTTAGGGTTTAGGGTTTAGGGTTTAGGGTTTAGGGTTCCGGTGGGTCTGTTATGATCCGGGGGCGCTGCCAGTGGCGCCTCAGAGTTCAGCTCGGCCCTAGGCACGGGCACCTCTCACCCCCCTTTAAAGGCCCTCAGAAACCTTGGTACCCCAGTGGTACCCTGTTCCCTTTTTTGGGGGGGTTCAAGGTTCCCGAGTTGTGTTCATCTGAGGCCAATGTGCTTCTTAAATTTGGGACCTAACTGTGGGTTCCCTTATAAAGTAAGCAGCCCAAAAAAGGGCACCCTTCTTATACTATGGTTACTGGGCTACCAAGTAACCGTATTGCTTCGTGCCACTTCGTGTTTCTCAGACACGGGTGGGCCTATCAGCGGAAGAGGGTCCCGTGTGAAACTTTGGTGAGCAGGTAGCTTTCAACCTACCAGGGGGGCCTTATACCAGGGTACAGGGTCTGGGGCTCAGGGTTTTCAGGGGTGTCCCCTTGCCGCCCGAAGGCTATGCCAGCACCCCATCGAAAACTCAGCTGGTGGCTTACGGTTTAGTGTTTAGTGTTTAGGGCATGGCCCCGATGACTGCCTTGAACAAATTGCTTCCTCTTCTCAAAACCCCATCAGGGTTTAGGGTTGAGGGTTTTTTTGGGACAGACCTGGCCCCCTCATGCCTCACCCCATCTCCGGGCACGTCTCGTTTTGTTTCGGCCCTTCGGTCTTGTCTGCACAGGCGTGGCTGATAGCTTGGTCCGTCAAGACTTGCCTCTATATGAATATGGCCTATTGCAGTGAATCTACAGCTTCTTGTGTTCTCTGTCCGCGCTGGTCCCCAACCCTTTGTGCCCCGGTAGGCTAGTTTGAGCGGCAAGTCCCAAAGCGAAGCCTTCAACCCAAAACCCTAAACCCTAAACCCTAAACCCTAAACCCTACAGCCCAGGACCCTGAAGCCCAAAACCCTAAACCCACCCTCCTCCCCAGGCCCTAAACCCTGGCAACCCTTCAGCCCCTGAAACCCACAGACCCTGAAGCTTCAAAATCCTTTAAAGCCCTGGAACCTTAAGATCTGTACAACGCCCTCACACCCCCAAGCCCTGATACCTCCAAAGCCCCTAACTCACGAAGCCTTCACAAAAACACGAAAACCCTCAAAACCTTGAAGCCTTATTGAACACCCAAACCTTTACAGCCCCAAAACCTCAAGAGAAAACCAGAATTAGCCTCAAACCTTGTTTCGACCTGAAAGCTTTGCTCCCTGGTCACCACAGTTGCATGAACAAAAAACCTCAAAACCTCAAAAACCTTTAGACCCTGAAACCTTTCAAACCCTGAAACCTTTAAACCTTTAAACCTTTAAAACCTTTAAACCTTTAAACCTTTAAGCCTTTAAACCTTCAAACCTTTAAACCTTTAAGCCTTTAAACCCTGAAACCTTTAAACCCTTGGTCCAGGTACAAGCTGGTCACCACAGTTCAAAAACCTTTAAACCCTTAGACCCTGAAGCCTTTAAAACCCCTGGTCCAGGTACAAGCTGGTCACCATGATGTCCACCTGCCTGAAGACCCTGATGTGGTCGTGGCCTGGTCAGTGTGGGGTGGCAGGTTTTGTGGGGTTTAGGGGGTTTAGGGTTTAGGGTTTAGGGTTTCGGGTTTAGGGGTTTAGGGTTTAGGGTTTGGGGCATGGGGCTTCGGGTTCGGGGAGCATGGGGTTTGGAGTTCAGGATTTAGGGTTTAGGGTTTAGGGCTTGGGGTCTCGGATTTTTGGGTTCTTGGGGCTTAGGGCTCGCCGTCCGGGCTTTCCGCGCGTAGGCCAAGCCACAGAGACTCCCAACGTTTGTCTTTCTCGCTCCGAAACCCTAAACTCAACCAAAAGCCAAAAAGCCCCGAAACCCAAAGGCCATAAGCCTCAAACACCCCAAGCCCGAAACCCGAAACCCAAACCCTATAAACCCTACAAACCCTAAAGACCCAGAACCCTAACAACCCCCGGTAAACCCCGAAGGCCTTAAAACAACTATAAACTCTAAAAAACGCTTACAAAACCCTGCAGTGGGGGAGGGGGGGGGGGGGTGCCTAAGACCCTCGACCTCTGTGGTGGCTGGGGCCCGCTGTTTGCGCTATATATAACATACATACATATATATATATATATGCTCATATATATATATAGAGATAGAGATACAGGGAAGGCCGGTGCGGATCGCTTTGAGGTTCCTCTTCTGCTTCATCGTCATGACGGTTTGGGCCATGCTGATCGTAGAGGCAGATGCTTGCAGTCCATGAGCTCTCCAGCCAAAGATCCTAAACCCCAAGTCCCTTTAGGGTTTAGGAGTTAGGGTTTAGGGTTTAGGGTTTAGGGATTTTCTGGCAGTCACCAAGTCCCAGTTGCAAAAGGGTTTAGGAATTAGGGTTTTGGGGAATTTATGGCCGGCGGTCCTTTCATCGGACTGGCCGGGGTTCCAACACGTTTTGTTTCGGGTTTGGGGTTCAGACCGTTTGTGGCTTCAATGGTTTGTAGACATGAGAAGGTTTTGGCTTGTAGTGTTTGGACTGAGCAGCGGCTTGTGCGGACGTGCTAGAGCACGGGTGAACTCAGAAACCTACCTACCTCAGCGGTTGCCCCAAAATCTAAGTCCCAACGCCCTGAACCCTAAACCCTGAACCCTGAAAACCCTAAACCCTAAACCCTAGACCCTAGACCCTAAACCCTATGAACTCTTACACTGCTGTTTGCACTCGGCGCACCCTCAGGGCGCCCAAAAGCCCCAAACGCCGCCAGGGTGTAGGGCTTAGGATGCAAAAAGGGTGTCAAGGGGGTTCAGAGGATTTCCCAAGGGTTGAGGGTAAAAAGGTGTGTAGGGTTCAGGGTTTAGGGCGGCAAAAGGTCGTGAACCCCCTGGTGCAGCGGATGAGCGCGGACGGCATCTTCGACGATTGTAGCGCCTCGCCCCCAAGAAGCCTCGGATCCTTTGGAAGCCTTCTCCACTACAGGGCTTAGTGGTTTAGGGGTTTAGGGGTTTAGGGGCTTAGGGGCTCAGGGGCTTGGGGGTTTCAGGGGTTTAGGGGCTTCTGGGTTTAGGGGCTTAGGGTTTAGGGCATTATATCTGGGCTTCTATGCAGGGTAGCTGGGGTTGCAACAGGTGATAACGCATTATTTCGGGTATTGTATACACCCTATTGGAACTACCCATGAACATCCAAGTACACCCCTGGACCGCCAATCCGAAACCTCCGTCAGCCCTAAACGCATAATCCCTCAACCCTAAGCCTTATAAACCCTAAACCCTAAACTCGTTCCCTAAACCCAAAACCCAAAACCCTAAACCCTAAACCCTAAACACGTAAACGCCCTACACCCCCAGACCCTTCTGAGCCTCCTTGACGGCTGGGAGGGCTTGAGGTTGCGTACAATTCATGGTCGGCCCTGGGTCTCCGGGTTTAGGGTTTAGGGTTTAGGGTTTAGGGTTCAGGGTTCAGGGTTTAGGGTTTAGGGTTTAGGGTTTAGCCAGAGTCTGGTTCATAAAAAGGGTTTAGGCTGAAACTTCTGCAAGCCCTGTGCCAGCTGAGTTGAAACTCCAATTGGCGGTTGGGGGTTCGGGTTTAGGGTTTAGGGTTTAGTGTTTAGGGTTTAGGGTTTAGTGTTTGGGCAAAGAAGAAGAGCCGCGCAGGCAACGACTTCTGCTACCTCTCCACGTCCTCGGTGCTCCATGCGCTCTCCGGCCCTTTCTTGCCCTAAACCCTAAACCCTAAACCCTAAACCCTAAACCCTAAACCCTTGTGCCCACAGCTTTCTTACCCAAAACCTAAAAGCCCTGTATATTAAGTGAAACATTTAGCAACCCTAGGGTGCGAGCCTTCACCCCCTTGACCCCTTTAAAAGGTTCCCAAGGTAAGACAGCGGCCAGGTCAGGAGTACATGAAGGGAAACCTTTGGCAGCGTCAGGGGCGCGAGTGTTGACCCCTTTGAGATGAAGGAAATCGGCCCAACGCAGGGTTTGGAGGGGCGTTGGATGCCCTGTTGAAGACGGGGTGTAGGGTTCAGGGTTCGAGGCACCCTGAACCCTAAACCCTAAACCTAAACCCTAGACCCTAAACCCTAAACCCTAAACCCTAAACCCTAAACCCTAAACCCTAAACCCTAAACCCGAAACCTCAGAAGGGTTCGAGGCTTCAGCAGCTCGCTAGTTGGATGTTCGGGGCTTCGGATCCTGCTGAGGAACCTGCTGCTCTTCCAGACGGTCATTGCGGGCGACGGCTGGGGAGAAATGGCAACTCGGTCTTGGTAAAGGGTTTAGGGTTTACGTAGGGTTTAGGGTTTAGGGTTTAGGGTTTAGGGTTTAGGGTTTAGGGTTTAGGGTTTAGGGTTTAGGGTCGGAATAAGTACCAAATAGTGTTCCCTTATGGTCCCTTTTCTATTCTTCTATAATGAACCCCCCTCCCCTAAATCCCATTCTAACTCTTAAGGCCCCGATATTAAGCCCCCAAAAAGGTGTCAGCTGCAAGACAGGAAGAATCTCCAAAGAAGAGCCGCAAATGTTGAGGTGTTTGCGGAACCCCAGCTCCCTACTTGGAGTTCCCTAAACCCTAAACCCTAAACCCTAGACCCCAAACCCTAAACCCTAAACCCTAAACCCTAAACCCATGTCTAGGCATCTATGGTTTCGGGCATATATTAGGCAGAAGGGCATGGCCAACAACAGACCAACCCCAGATACCCTGCTCATAGCCCCAGTTATAACGACGAGCCCAAAGAGCCTTCCGTGGCTTTCACATAGACAGGGCAGAACATCCCCCCCTCTCACCGCCTAAACCTTAAACCTCCAGTTCGGAAACTTGAAGGTTCCTGGGTACTTGTAGCTGACCTAGGCTATTTGGGATCAGATTGTGGTGCCCTTCTAGCTAAAGGCTAAACCCTAAACCCTAAACCCTAAGCCCTAAACCCCAAACCCCAAACCCGAAACCCTAAACCCTAAACCCTAAACCCTAAACCCTACACCCTAAACGCTAAACCCTAAACCCGAAGTACAGGCCACGCCCATCATCTTGCGATACCCGGAGACGGCCATCATCTTCATCGGGTCGCTCTTGACCCTGGTCTTCGGGGTGCACCTTGCCTGAACCCTAAACCCTAAACCCTAAACCCTAAACCCTAAACCCTAAACCCTAAACCCTAAACCCTAAACCCTAAACCCTAAACCCTAAACCCTAACCTAAACCCTAAACCCTAAACCCTAAACCCTAAACCCTAAACCCTAAACCCTAAACCCTAAACCCTAAACCCTAAACCCTAAACCCTAAAACCCTAAAACCCTAAAACCCTAAACCCTAAACCCTAAACCCTAAACCCTAGACCCTAAACCCTAAACCCTATACGAAACCCTCACCCTAAACCCTAAACCCGGTTTAGTGTTCCTTGGCTAATTAGCCGAAAACGCTGCCTGAAAGATTACGAACTGGGAGACCGAAGAGCCAAAACAAAGTAGTTGGACCCAGTTCACAGCACTGTAACGTCCCCTGATAATAAGGACCCCAATAAGGTACCCCTAATTTCGGAAGCCCTCAACCCTAAACCCTAAACCCTAAACCCTAAACCCTGAGCCCTAAACCTAAACCCTAAACCCTAAACCCTAAACCCTAAACCCTAAACCCTGAACCCTGAGCCCTAAACCCTTAACCCTCATACGTCCCACAATCGGGTCGCCAGCTTGAGGCTCAACCTCATCGTGGCCGTGGTCGTGGCGGGGCAGAGTGCGAGTTGGTTTAGGGTTTAGGGTTTAGGGTTTAGGGTTTAGGGTCTCGGGTCTAGGGACTAGGGTTTAGGGTTTAGGATTTAGGGTTTAGGGAGTGTTTTGGGGTGTAGCTGCAAAAGCCCCTGATCCCCAAATCCTGAACCATAATCCCTTGCAACCATTTTAGTCCGGGTTCGTCTCTCCCGTCACGCCCTTGTTCGCAATACAGGGCATACGATCTTTTGTTTTTTGGAGCCCTAAACCCTAAACCCTAAACCCTATACCCTAAACCCGTTTAAGCAGATAGTAGCCACTGTTTTTGGATTGGGCAGGCCCTTGGGATTTCATATCTTTACCCTTGTCGGGTTTCAAGAGGGTCATGCTTGGGAACAGTCTTCAGAGGGTTTTTCTCTGGCCATCCTGGGCCATCCTAGTAAACTGCTTAAGGGTTTAGGGTTTAGGGATTAGGGTTTAGGGATTAGGGTTTAGGGATTAGGGTTTAGCAAAAAGGGTTTAGGGAGTAGGGTTTAGGGCTTAGGGTTGCCTGAGGTTACCCTTTGAGTGCAGGGGTGGGGGTTGCCTGGCTGGCTGCCCTAGCGTGGAGCCTTCTGTTGCAGAGAGTGCTTGCAGAAACCCCTAAACCCTAAACCCTAAACCCTAAACCCTAAACCCTAAACCCTAAACCCTAAACCCTAAACCCCAGGCACCTCCGAGCCCTAAACAAATGAAGCCCTAAGCCCAGCAAAGCTGCGTCCTTAGGTCGACACGTTTGCGGAAGCCCGCTCGCACGACATCCTGAATCTGGCAGCGCTTCGATTGGCGAGCGAGTTTGTTTGAATGGTTTGCTTGGAGGTTCATGGGCACTTTAGCACCAGATGGCGTGTGTACTTATAACCCTACTTAAGGGACTTAGGGAGCTTGTAAGTGCAGTTCTACTTTGGGGGTTATGAGTGCCCTGAGGGGTTTATGTGGCTTGGTGTTTGAGAGCGAGGCACTTGAGAGAGCCCTCGTTGAAAATCGGGCCTCAGTGGTTTTTGCTTTGAAGTTGGGATCGACTATATTTTAAATGCACCTGCGACAGGACTGCTGAATGCTGACGCTGGCGGTTTCTGAGCTTTTGGGCTGTCTGCAAGGGGAATATTTGCCTTGTTTCAGGTGACACCCTAGCTTGGGAACTCCTATCTCGGGGTCGGTGTCAGGATACCTGAATGAAGGGGCGTCGGACGCAGTGGGTCTCTCAGGAGGAGATGGAGGATGACCTGGAGAAGGACACGAAGCTCCCTGGCCATCGGGTTGTGTAGAAGATATGCCTCGGTGTATCACGGTTGCATGGCCTTCCTTCATTCCCCGAAGCCTGAACCCAAAAGCCCTTGATCCAGGCGCAAAGCAGGCGTATAGGGCTGAGGAATCAGGTTGAGCGAGGATGATTCCGAAAGGAGTGGGGTGGCAGTGTGTCTGCTTCCCCCTCAACTTGGCGCTCATGACACCCCTTACGCAGGCCCCTGGGCGCGGGCAGCCTGTGAAACTCGAGGAAACCCTCACAAAACCCCGAGATCCCTCAAAGCCCATCCAAAAACCCCTTCAAAGACTTCAACGGTCCTTGGGGTGCCCCCCAAAAGAGGTTCCTTGAGAAGCTCTTCAAGCGGATCGACCAGGCCTCCAAGGTTTTTGTTGGGTTTCAGGTTTAGGCTCAGGGTCAGGGCTTGGGGGCTTGGGGGCTTGGGGGCTTGGGGCATGGGGTGTAAACAGGGTTTAGGGTTTAGGGTTTCGGGTTTAGGGTTTAGGGATGCAGCAAGAAGGGCTTTTTGGGACCCGAAACTTTGGGTTCAGGACCAAGGCCTTGGGGCTTCAGGTTCCTGCAAGATTCCATGCCCCCTCCCCCCCCGTTTTTTTTTTTTTTTTTTCTCTCTCTCTCTCTCTATCCCTCTCTTTCTCTCTCTGTCCTGTCTCTCTCTCTCTCTCTCTCCCTCTCGCAGTCGGAAACACCCCGACCCTGAAACCGCAAGACCCCTTAAATCCCGAGCATACTAGACATCGCGAAGCCCGCCCCAGACCCGGAGTGCCTCCGTGAGGACGGGAGTGGCAGGGTCACTCTGGACGAACTTATAGAAGGTGCACGCAACCCGTCGGATTTTTTCTTCTCGTCCAGTTACTAAGCCGAAAGAGCTCCTAAGTAGCGGGGGTTTAATATCAGGGGGAGGGGGCTAAATGCTCCAAGGCGAAAGAGCTCCCTAGTAGGGGGGGGTTGAATATTAGGGGGAGGGGACCCAAAGAGCCCAAGACCCCGTTAAGAAGGAATATGCATGAAATTATAAAGGGATCCTGAAAATAATTTGAGGTATATGCCTTAATTAAGGGGCATTCTTACTGCTGGTTAGCCGGGAATGAGCCCTATATATACCCTTTAAGGGACTATAGAGGGTACCTCATTCCCCCATTCCCTACTAACCAACAGTAAGTATTGAACTCCTCGAGGACTCATTGCTCCCTAAACCCTAAACCCTAAACCCTAAACCCTAAACCCTAAACCCTAAACCCTAAACCCTAAACCCTAAACCCTCAAGACCAACTCCAAGGTAAAGACCCCGAGTTCCAGAGTCGTCTCCGCGCTGCTCGGCCGTGACGCGTAGACAAAGGGGGCCCCTGCAACCCTAAACCCTAAACCCTAAACCCTAAACCCTAAACCCTAAACCCTAAACCCTAAACCCTAAACCCTAAACCCTAAACCCTAAACCCTAAACCCTAAGCCCTAAACCCTAAACCCTAAGCCCTAAGCCCTGAACCAACAATGCCTTTGCGGCCAGCGCCTGACGCAGGTCACAGCTTGAACTTGTCAAGCCTGTTGCCTTAGGGCATCGCGGGCTAGTTACGCGGTCCTTCGAACGGGGGGACTCCTGAAAAATCCCCCTTATATACCCCATAAAACCCAAGGGCCCCATACTTCAGAACTTTCTGAAGAAGGAGCATCTGCTTGGAGGTTCATGGCGCTTATTAAGCAGTTATAACTGTACTTCTAAGTGTACTTATAACCATCTTAGGGCAGTTAAGGAGCTTATAAGTGGGTTATAAGTAGAGTTATCATTGGTTAAAAAAGTACTATGAACCTCCAAGTGCCCAAGGTTATGGACATCGACGAAGTCGATCTGGAGCAGTTGTTCCAGATGATCGACGTGACTTGGCCTGCACGGCCTGCACGTTTTGATCAACTTCTGCAGTTTAGGGTTTAGGGTTTCGGGTTTAGGGTTTAGGGTTTCGGGTTTAGGGTTTAGGGTTTAGGGTTTGCAATTCCGGCCGACTCGCATCACGTGCGTCGCAGCTGCGACTGCAACCCCCCGGCCAAATAGTCCCCAACCCCTTAGACTTACGAAGTCAAAAGAGCTGCCAAGTTCACCCTGACCCCAAAGCCCTAACCCCCTCCACCCTAAACCTCTAAACCCTAAACCCCTAGCAGTCAGAGGTCCCAAGAGTCCCGCCCCTCCAGCGCCATGAGGTGAATGGTTCGGGCTCGATCGAGGCGTGCGGGCCATCTCCTTCACGTCGCCCTAGTATTCTACATGCTCTCGGGTGTCTAGCAGGCTGTGTTTTTTTGCTTGCTAGTGCATGATAAAGGCAGTGATGCTTTTTTCGCCCTGAAGAAGCCCTACACACACCCCTTGACGCTAAGCCCTAAACCCTAAACCCTAAACCCTAAACCCTAAACCCTAAACCCCAAACCCTAAACCCTAAACCCTAAACCCTAAACCTCTCAAAACCTGAGAAGCAGGCCTCCGACTTCATCTGGCCCCTCAGTCGATGGGTGCCGGCCTCGGACTTCGAGTTCTTGGAGACCTCCCTGGGCTGGCTTCGGGGGGTTAGGGTGTAGGGTTTAGAGTTTAGGGTTTAGGGATTACCAGGGTTTTGGGTTTGGGGTTTAGGGTTTAGGGTTTAGGCTTTAGGGTTCAAGGTTTAGGTTTTAGGGTTCAGGGTGGTTTGGGGCTGGCAGGGCTAGCAGGGCTGAGGATTTCAAGGTTCGGAACGTCATGCAAGTTGTTCACTGTAGAACTACAGAACGCGAGGAATGCTGTAGTTGAACATGGAACCCGCTTATGGCTTTCCCAGATGTCTCGCCTTAGTCAAATTGGGAACTCTCTGCCGATCCGGTCATCCGATCGAGGTGCCCCAAGGCCGGTGAAAGGGTTTAGGGTTTAGGGTTTAGGGTTTAGGGTCCTGAGTTCAAGGCAACAACCATAACAACCCAGGCGGCTGCAAACCTGAAGCCCTGAAAGCAGAAACAAAACCCTAAACCCTAAACCCCCTAAACCCCTAAACCCCTAAACCCCTACACCCTAAACCCTAAACCCTAAACGGCGAGCACTGCGTGTTGCGGTCCCGGAGAGGGTTCATGCGAGTTGTCCAGAAAGCCAAGCTTCATGCGACGACCCCGAAACCCTGAGATGGAACAAACCCAAGCTCACCCTGCCAAAAGATCCCAAAACCCTTAGTGTTAAGGAATATACCTTCGTCTATTTCGGGGTCCTGAATATGATTCAAGGTGTATTCCTGAACTTAGGGGTATTGGTCTCTTTGGGTACCAAAATGCAAAAAAACCGAACCGCAAACCCTAAACCCTAAAACCCTTGTGGTAAGTCGCATTGAAAGCATCTTTATCCCGTGCCCTGGAGGGCCTCGGGCAGCCCCGCAACCACCCTAAACCCTAAACCCTAAACCCCAAACCCTAAACCCGAAACCCTACACCCCCGCAAAGGTGCACGACTCCAAGACGGCTCCCCGCTTCATCAAGTACAACATGCCCTCCTCGGCTCGCTTTCGGGAAGCCTCGGGTTTAGGGGTTTAGGGTTTAATCTTTAGGGTTTCGGGTTTAGGGGTAGGAGTTTTCGTGGCCAGGGCATGTGGAAACAACAATGCCCTTGCAAACAGGTGTGAGAAACCCGAAGCCCCAAAGAGTAGACGCTCGCAAGCCTTAACACCAATCCCTAAACCCTACATCCTAACCCCGAAGCCGGCCCCTGGGACAATCTGAATGATTGGGCCGCAGAGGATCTGTTTGAGGAATGTCCCCCCCTAAACCGACTATGGCCGTTTCTTAGGGTGCAACCTGGCTGGAAACCCTAAACCCGAAACCCGAAACCCGAAACCCGAAACCCGAAACCCCAAACCCCAAACCCTAAACCCTAAACCCTAAACCCTAAACCCTTTGCAATGCACATGGCAGGCTGCGGACGATGGAGCAGCAGGAGGAGATCCCCCGGTGCAACCTTCTTCTCTTTAGGGTTTAGGGTTTAGGGTTACTAGGGTTGCTTGGTTGGTCTTTGGGGTATTCTCTCCAGCCTTCAATGTAGGTGTTGCAGACGTTTCTTCGGTGGTGACGGCGCCGGCATTCTTCAACCGTAACCTTCCCGAACCCCTAAGCCGTGGATGAGGTAACATACGGGTCGGAATAATTGCTAATAATACTCCCTCATGGTCCTTTTGTAATCTTACCAAAATAACCCCCAAAGCCCTATTCTAAGAGGATCAGGAATATCTTTCAGAGGGTTTTAAGGGTCATCCTAGATGAGGTACACGGGTACTTGGAGGTTCGTGCATAGTTTTAACTAGGGCAAGTTGGGTTACAGCTACAACCAGCTCTTTTAACTTTCTGCAGGCTGCTTATCATCCTACCTTGAAAACTGGCCATGAGTCCAGTCCGAGTAGCATTTCATTGACCAAGACCGAGAGGTTGTTCGTGCCACGGGCCGTTTTTTCCGAAACCCTAAGCCCTAAACCCTAAACCCTAAACCCTAAACCCTAAGCCCTAAACTTCCCTAAGCCCTAGGCCCCCTCAGCAATCCCAAAGCCAGCAGTTCAGGGCTGCAGTTGAGAGCCATTCGTGGTTGAGGATTTGATTTACAAGTGCCGGGCTACGAACCTCCAGGTTAAGGTTTAGTTTGGGGCTTGGGGCTTGGGGCTTGGGGCTTGGGGCTTGGGGCTTGGGGCTTGGGGCTTGGGGCTTGGGGCTTGGGGTTTAGGGTTTAGGGTTCGGGGCTAAAGGTTTTTTATTTTTATTTTTATTTTCTGGGGGCTCTAGGGGTTTAAGGCTTTCAGGGCTGAGGGCGTGGGGTCCAAGCCCCCCCCCCCCCCCCAAGTTCCAAAAAGGCCCTCCTGAAGCCATCGCAGGAGTTGTACAACCTCTCTGAGGTTGGCTTCCAGCAACTGAAGGAGTCTGCTGAAAGTTGTTGCGTGGTTTCGGGTTAGGTTCTAAACCCTCTCTACCATATATATTTAAACCTTAATTGTATTTTCAAAATTTGGCCGCTTTATTTTCAGAATTTGGCCGCTTTATTTTCAGAATTTGGCCGCTTTATTTTCAGAATTTGGCCGCTTTATTTTCAGAATGAGTCAAAATCAGGCCAAAGGCTAATTGAATTTCAGAATTTGGCCGCTTTATTTTCAGAATTTGGCCGCTTTATTTTCAGAATTTGGCCGCTTTATTTTCAGAATTTGGCCGCTTTATTTTCAGAATTTGGCCGCTTTATTTTCAGAATTTGGCCGCTTTATTTTCAGAATGAGCCAAAATCAGGCCAAAGGCTAATTGAATTTCAGAATTTGGCCGCTTTATTTTCAGAATTTGGCCGCTTTATTTTCAGAATTTGGCCGCTTTATTTTCAGAATTTGGCCGCTTTATTTTCAGAATTTGGCCGCTTCAGAATTTGGCCGCTTTATTTTCAGAATTTGGCCGTTTTATTTTCAGAATTTGGCCGCTTAATTTTCAGAATTTGGCCGTTTTATTTTCAGAATTTGGCCGCTTTATTTTCAGAATTCGGCCGCTTTATTTTCAGAATTTGGCCGTTTTATTTTCAGAATTTGGCCGCTCTATTTTCAGAATTTGGCCGTTTTATTTTCAGAATTTGGCCGCTTTATTTTCAGAATTTGGCCGTTTTTGGCTTTCTCAATGTAGTGGGATTCTCTGGGTGGGTGGGTGTTATATCCGAGCCGTAAATAAAGCTTAACCATAAAGCTGCTCGACCCGGAGTGCTGAACCCTAAACCCTAAACCCTAAACCCTAAACGCTAAATCGGTCGTGGGGATTTAGGGCCTGCACGCCCCAAACCCGGCCCTTGCACAAGGGCTCTCGGGAACCTTGCCTGGGTGCCCTTCAAGCCCGCATCCCACGCCTCAGACCCGCCGGTTCGTGGGGTTTCAGGGTTTAGTAGCTCTTCGTTCGTCGCCGGAGCCCCAGCAATCTGCTAGAGTCCTGGGTGCAAAAAGGGTTTAGTAGGTAGCAGGGTTTGGGGTTTAGAGTTTAGGCTGCCCTTACTACTATGACTCTTGTCATTTGCGATGACTACGATGCTGCTGATGTTGATGATGCTGATGATGAGCTATTACTATTAACATCCTCTCCGTCATTACCATGGCCCCGCTTGCTACTACTGTTCCCTACTGTTCCCCCCTACCCTCCATTCCAAACGGACCAAATAAAGCGGGCCCCAAGCCGAACCTTGGAAATCCTTCCTAAACCCTCAACCCCAAGCCCTAGACCCTCTTCAATTCAGTGCCCAAAGCCCTTCAATCCACGAACCCTGCGTCTCAAACCCTCACTTGGAGGTTCATAGTACCCGTGCTTATAGCCGTACTTATAAGGGGCTTACAAGTGGGTGAGAAGTGCAGTTCTAAATTGGTTAACAAGTACCATGAACCTCCAAGCACACTCGGACGAGGAGTCGATTGACAAGCTGACGCTTGCCGTGACTAAGGGCCGCATGGGAGAAGGCCCCAGCGTTGCCATGGAGCTGCTTGGACGGGGTTTTCCCTGCTCGGAAGAACTTTTGCTTAGTAAGTAGAGTAGTTTAGGGTTTAGGGTGTAGGGTCTAGGGTTTTTGGGTTACGTTTTTTTTGTTTGTTTTTTTTAGGGTTTAGGGTTTAGGGCTTCTGGGTCCATAGGGGTTTAGGGTTTAGGGTTTAGGGTTATAGAAATGCCAAGAGCTACCATGTCTTGCCGAGGGACCTGTCTGTGCTGACGCCGGAGGACTTGGACCATCCTGCTGGGGTCCCGGACCATCTCCTACCCCATGACTTAGGGCATCTTCCCCCCTTATTGTAAGGGTTTGGGGTTTGGGGTTTAGGGTTTAGGGTTTAGGGTTTAGGGTTTAGGGTTTAGGGTTACCCCCTGACTTAGGGGATCTTGCCCCCTTATTGTAAGGGTTTGGGGTTTAGGGTTTAGGGTTTAGGGTTTAGGGTTACCGCCTGACTTAGGGGATCTTCCCCCCTTATTGTAAGGGTTTAGGGTTTAGGGTTTAGGGCTTAGGGCTTAAGGTTTAGACTTGAGATGTTCCCCCTTATGCTCAGAGTCCTCAGTATGGATTATAGTACCGCCCCCCCCCGCACAAGTATAATCCAAATTAAGGGCTGCCCGTATAAGGGGGAACATCCCAACCCATGACCACTGTCTGCCCGCTCATCCTAAAGAGTTTAGGGGTTCAGGGGTGCCAACAAAAAAAAGGGCTTAGGGTTCGGGGTTTAGGGTTTAGGGTTTGGGGTTTAGGGTTTGGGGTGTCGGCTTTAGGGTTTAGGGTCCCAAGTAACCCCCACCCAAAAGCAGGGCTTAGGAAGCTTGTAGGGTTTGGTTTTGGAGGGTCCGTGCCGCTTCCACTTTAGTGGATACGAACGACCCCGTACCCAGAATCTCACAACCATACTGTACTACAGCATCAAGCCCCCCAAGTATGGGCTTTTCGCGGGGGTTTAGGGTTTAGGGTTTAGGCTTTAGGGTTTAGGGTTTAGGGTAAGCCCTAAACCCTAAATTAGGGCTCAGGGTTTAGGGGAACCATAGACTTGCCTCAGTGGAAGAGAGGTTGGGGGGATTTGAGGCTCTGGATTTGGAAAAAAAGTGGGTGTTTCTGCCTTTGAGAAGGTTGCCCAGGGCACGAGGAGTCATGGTATAACTGTACTTAAGGGTTTAGGGGTCCTTGTTACCCAATTCTGGCTGCACTTGCAACTGCACCATTTTCGGGCACTTAGGCCCAAGCTGACATGCAAGATCAGTAGCGAGCCCAGTGGCAGCCCCAAAGCACGTGGCAAACCCCGTGTATTTTTTCAATGAGCTCAAACCCTAAACCCCTAAACCCTCAAAACCCCGAAGCCCCTAAACCCCAAAGCCCTTGAACCCCGAACCCTTCAAGGCCCCAGTTGGTGGCAGCAAAGAACAAACAAATAAGTGGAAGACAAATACGAACAATAATAACAATAAGACAAGAATAAGCATAATCATATGAACAAGAACAAGAATAAGTTAAGAAGACCTAAACCCTAAACCCGAAAGCCTAAACCCTAAACGGTTTAAGGGTTTAAAACCCCAACCCCCCCCCCCCCCGAAAGCTCCGGAGAGCTCCTAAGTTCCTCCGCGTGCAGGTACACTTCGAGGCGCTGAGGGCGTGGGTTTGCGGTTTAGGGTTTAGGGTTTAGGGTTTAGGGTTTAGGGGTTCAGAGTTGTAGGGTTTTGTGAGGCTTGGGGATGTTAGCTAGTAGGGGGAGAAGGGTTGCTGGAGATTCTAAGGATATGAACCTGTACATCATGCTTCAGATCCTTCAAGTCAAGCCTTCGCAACCCTAAACCCTGAACCCTAGACCCTAAACCCTAAACCCTAAACCCTAAACCCTAAACCCTAAACCCTACTCTGCAGCTCTCATGCGACGAGGACCACGCACCCATCCTCGAGGAGTCCCAAGAGGACGTCGGGTTGAAACCGCGGCAACGCGCAGCATGAACCCGGAACCCTAAGCCCTAAACCCTAAACCCTAAGCCCTAAACCCTAAACCCTAAACCCTAAACCCTAAGCCCTAAACCCTAAACCCTAAGCCCTAAACCCTAAACCCTTGCTCCACGGCAGGGGTACATCACCTCTGTTCGCCCTCGAAATCTTAAGGCCCTCGTTTACAGGAACCCCCCCCCCCCCCCCCAAAAAAAAAAAAAAAAAAACAAAAAAAACCTAAACCCTAAACTCGAAACACTAAACCCTAAACCCTAAACCCCAAACCCTAAATCCTAAACCCGAAACACACAACATGCCAAGCATCCCTATTTTGGGGAAAGAACCCCGGATGGCCCTGCAAGTTTGTACAGGGAGGCGTCTCTTCTGAATGTAGCTTCGTAGTCTGGCAGGTTTAGGGTTTAGGGTTTAGGGCTTAGGGTTTAGGGTTTAGGGTTTAGGGTTTAGGGGCTTCTTCTAGAGAAGGAGAGCATCGGAAGAAGGAGGGCAGAGGGACGAGGGGAGCAACACGAGGAGATTGTGTGATGTCCAACCCTAAACCCCAAACCCCAAAACCCTAATCGAGAAGTGTACCAAGTGAAAAAAACCCTAAACCCTAAACCCTAAGCCCTAAGCCCTAAGCCCTAAGCCCTCAGCCCCAAAACCTCCCTAAAAAAATGCCAAGAAGCCCCGGTGGCCAAACTGGAGGATTTCGGCAACACGCCGCCGCTGTTGACACTACCTGAGGCGCCCCGAGCGCGTCAAAACCTCGAGGGTGTAGGGCGGTTTAGGGTTTAGGGTTTAGGGTTTAGGGTTTTGTTGGGGTTTAGGGTTTAAGGTTTCGGGTTTGGGAGGTTTTAGGCTCAGTTGGGGTTTTTGTTAGGGTTTAGGGATTGAGGTTTGTGGTCGTGGGTTTCGGGTTTCAGGTTTGGGGATGTGGGTTTAGGGCTTATAAGTTGAGGGCTTAGGGTTTAGGGCTTCAACTAATTGGGGTGATTGCATTTGATTGTGCAGTGCTGTAGCCTCCATTTCTTGGTACCCACTCCCACAAAACCTGAACACGAAATCCCTAAACCCTGAACCGAAACCCCAACCCCTGACCCCGAAACCCCCAAACCCTGAACCCTGAAGACTGCGTAACAGTAGGTCAGTAACCCCCCCAGTGTGGCTGGTCTGCAATGGCGGGTGGCAAGACAAGAAACCCCTAGGCACACCGATTTGGAGGCAGACTCCCGAAACCCTAAACCTCGGCGGGTGCAAAAAACCCTGAACCCTAAACCCCAAACCCTAAGCCCTAAACCCCAAACTTGAAACCCGAACCCCTCAGCAGTCACAAGCAGCTGCCCTGGTCAGGAGCGGGGACCCCCCGAACCTCCCAAGAGCGCGCAGAAGGTGGCGTTGACCAGCCAGGCCATTGGGGTTTAGGGTTCTAGGGCTAGAGTTTACGGCGTTGGCCAGCCAGGCCATGGGGTTTAGGGCTTCTAGCGTTTGGCGTTTAGGGTTTTTAGGGGTTAGGGTTTGGGGTTTGGGGTTATCTTAGACTTTATGGCGTTGACCCGCCAGGCCACAGGGTTTAGGGTTGAGGGTTTAGAGGGTTTAGAGGGTTTAGAGGGTTTAGAGGGTTTAGAGGGTTTAGAGGGTTAAGAGGGGTTATGGGGTTTAGGGTTGAGGGTCTAGGGTTTGCAGGGTTTATAGGTTTATAGGGTTTAGAGGGTTTATAGGGTTTAAAGGGTTAGAGGGTTTAGAGGGCTTGGAGGGTTTAGAGGGTTTTTGATCCAGACGCAAAAGCGCCGCCAATATAGGGTCTAGGGTTTAGGGGTTCGGTAGGCGAATAAAAAAAAAAACCGGCAACTATGCTTATAGCCTTGTTGCGGGCACGACAAACCCTACTTATCAGTACCCAACCTTTACCTCATACCAAAACCCTTTTGAGCCCAAGCTTTGCTGGAACTCCAAGGGTCCAGCAGGGCTTGAGGGTTTCAAGGCACCATCAAGGGGTTAAGCCCAAAAAGCCTTGAACCCTAAACCCCTAGACCCCTAAACCCCTAAACCCCTAAACCCCTAAACCCCTAAACCCTTTTACCCCAGGCCCTAAAACCCAAGCCAAAGTCCAAAGTATGCTTCGTTGTCCGGGAGCGCCTGTCGCCCTCTGCCGGTTCCCTGGAACGGACCTCGACCCCTAAACCCTAAACCCTAAACCCTAAACCCTAAACCCTAAACCCTAAACCGTAAACCCTAAACCCCAAACCCTAAACCCTAAACCCTAAAGCCTAAAGCTAAAACCTAAACCCTAAACCCTAAACCCTTGAAAACGGGTTTAGGGCGCAGCAGCAGGAGGATCCTCTGCTCCAGATTCCAGAAAGGGCCCTATATCGCATGCGAAACTGTAATAAGAGGTCCGCGGGATACTCGAAGTAGGGGGTCTACGAAAACAGGGGATAGGGGACCCCTACAGTAGACCCCAAATAGTAGGATTCCCTTATAATAAGGACCAAGGTACCCTGAATTTCGGAAACCTCCATATGGGCAATATGAGGACACTATCTTGTAGTCTTTAGGGGTTCTTAAGCAAATAGTAGACCAGAACGTAAGGATCATTATCATGTAATAATCCCTTCAAATTCTTAAGCAAAATAGTAGAGCAGAAAGTAAGGATCATTATCTTGTAATATCTTGGGGTTCCTAAGCAAATAGTAGACCAGAAAGTGAGGATCATTTGTTTTGTGAACTTCTGGGGTTCTTAAGCAAAATAGTAGACTTGAAAGTAAGGATCATCATCTTGTAATCTTTTGGGATTCTTAAGCAAAAAGTAGACCAGAAAGTGAGGATCAGTATCTTGTACCCTGTTGGGGTTCTTCGGCAAATAGTAGACCAGAAAGTGAGGATCCTAAACCCTAAGCCCTAAACCCCAAAACCCTAAGACTAGAAGTGAGGATGCACTGGTAATGGCTGATGGCGGGTCGAAGCCCCCCAGCCTGAATCCTCAAAGCGTGCCAGGGCCCTTTCAGCAGCTCGGTGAAGGAGGCCTTAGGGTCTGTAATGAGGGTTTAGGGTTTAGGTTTAGGGTTCAGGGCAGGGGTTTAGGGTTCAGGGTTCAGGGTTTAGGGTGGACGGCTTAGTAGTCCATGGTCAAAGTTTAGGGTTTCGGGTTTAGAGCTTAGGGTGTAGCCCTTGAAGTTCAGGGAGGCAGGCATCCATGCGATGACCTCAAACCCCTAAATTAATAGTATGTCTTACTTAGTGACCCCTAGAATCCCCACAACCCACGCTTACTAACCCTACTAGCATGGTCCCTTAGTATGGGCCCCTAAACGGGTAACCCTTATATACCCCTTACATGCCCTATACAAATTAAGGGCCCATACATCAGAACCCTGTAAAAGGAGGTAAGGGACCATATTAAGGGCACATGAAACTACCCCAAGGCCCCAAACCTAAACCCGCACGCTGAATCCCCAGACGCCAAGTCCCGGAGAAACAAGAGCCTAAACCCAGGCCCTAAACCCTAAGCCCTAAGCCCCTAAGCCTACCGGCAGCCGGCTGGCGTTCCTGAGGCCCAGGATTTTTCTCCCACACGTGGTTTTCCCTGGGCTGGTTTGGTGCTAAGCACAAGTCTTGGTGCGTCGACAGCTATTCCACCCATTACATACGCTTAAATCCAGAGCCCTAAACCCTAAACCCTAAACCCTAAACCCTAAACCCTAAACCCCTAAACCCCTAAACCCCTAAACCCCTAAACCCTACTCGATCCCTAACACATCCCTCGGCAGATCGAAGCGCTGCTGCTGGCTTCCGAGGCGCGCCTCCGGCGCGCCATGGCGCCTTGGACCCGCGGTTGTGGGGGTTGAAGGCGCTAAGGTTGTTAGGGCTTAGGGTTTAGGGTTTAGGGTTTAGGGTTTAGGGTTTAGGGTTTAGGGTTTAGGGTTTAGGGTTTACGGTGTCTTGGGGTCTCAGTGTTACAAGGTTTTAGGGTTTCTGGGTACCCCTGTGCTACCCTGTACCCTTTTTCTTGGTTATGGGTTCCACTTATGAGAATAGCCAAGCCGAACCTCAACAAAGGGGTGCCCTTGTTATAATATAAACCTTGAACCCTGAACCCTGAACCCTGAACCCTAAACCCTAAACCCTGAACCCTAAACCCTGAACCCTAAACCCTGAACCCTAAACCCTAAACCCTGAACCCTAAACCCTAAACCCTGAACCCTAAACCCTAAACCCTGAACCCTAAACCCTAAACCCTAAACCCTAAACCTTCCTGTGGTTAATTTCTGGGCTACCAAGGTTTAGGGCTGAGGGCCCAGGAGTGTTGGGGACCAATGGGGAGCTCAAGATCACCACCCAAACTTGGGATGTTCTCCCTCATCCTAACGGTCCTGAGTAGGGTTTAGGGTTTAGGGTTTAGGGTTTAGGGTTTAGGCTTTAGGGTTTAGGGTTTAGTCGGGGGGGGGGGGGGGGGGGGAACTATAATCCCTATTAAGCCCCAAAAAGCTCAACTGACGTGGGAGCTCTTTCGACTTAGTACGTCTACTTCGTGCCTTCTAGAAACGCTAGCGTGATCCGCCAGAACCCACCTTACTGACTAACCCTAAACCCTAAACCCTAAACTCTAAACCCTAAACCCTAAACCCTAAACCCCAAACCCAAACCCCAAACCCCAAACCCTAAACCCCAAACCGTAAACCCTAAACCCTAAACCCTACACCCTACACTCTACACCCTACACCCGAAACCCTAGATCCTAAACCCTACTTCCTACTTCCTAAGTCAAAGCGGGCTTCCAACCCTAAACCCTAAAACCCTGAACCCTAAACCCCAAACCCCCCTGTGGTTAATTACTGGGCCGTACACCCTAAAAGCTAAACCCTTCCAAGCAGGCGAAGATTGAGAACTCCATCTCGGAGCACCACACGTCGCCGCAGCACCACGCATCGCCGCAGGCGAATGGCAGTGCCTCAGCCGACCTCCAGGCGCGCCGAAGCGCACTGAGGAATGAGGGTTTAGGGTTTAGGGTTGAGGGTTTAGGGTTGAGGGTTGAGGGTTTAGGGTTTAGGGTTTAGGAGTAGGGTTGAGGGTTTAGGGTTTAGGGATACCTCAATGGCCTCATGGGCAGATACACGGTGGCCTCTCCAAGGTACCTTTTTTTTTTTAAACAATCAGTCCCAACCCACGCCACGTGAATGCTTGCGGCCAAACGTTGGGTCTCTTGTCTATTGGCCTGTCATTTCCCTAAGCCTCAACTCTAAACCTTTCCGCAGCAACTTGTTTTTTGCATGGTTGGAAAGCTTCATGAAATGGCTGTTTGTGGTAAAAAAAACATTTTTTCGCTCAAGGAAGAAGAGCAGCGTTGACTCAAAGCAAAACGCCAGGCACGAACAGAATTCACTATGTCCGACATGTATTCGCACTTTTCTCCGCCACTGACGCACACCACAGACTCAGGTAATAGCCTCAATTTAAGAAGACTTTGTATCTTGTCAGCTCGGGTCAGCCTTGACAGCACGATCCTCCTGAGCTGTGTAATCCCAGAGCTGCCTCTGCGTCACTTTCTAGGATGCCCAGTAGTGCCCTTATTCCGGGGGTTTCGGTTCCCTTATACACCCCTTTAAGCAACAAAGGACACCCTTGTGAATCCTAGGTTACTGGGCAACCTAGCTTTGTTTCTGGACACTCTACCCCTTAATTAAGTCACATACCTTAAAGTATAAGCTGGACCCTTAACATGACTTAAGGCCTCTTCCTGATTTAAGCGGTCTAAAGGGCTCCTTCTGCTCGAGCCCCGCCGCCTGAGCCATGGTCCAGATGGACGAGGGCCGCGAGCGGGCTTACGGGCAGATGCTTGAGGTGGTAAAGGCCGTCCTGGCAGGGCAGCCAGGGTTGGCTTTGGAAGATTTTGCATGTTCCTCAACTTGGGCTTTTTAAGGGGGCCCATTTCGCACACATTTCTGTCCTAACCCTAAACCCTAAACCCTAACCCTAAACCCTAAGCCCTAAGCCCTAAACCCTAAACCCTAAACCCTAAGCCCTAAACCCTAAACCCACGGAGTTTAAGAGGGCCAACCCAGGCAGATGCAGGCATCGAATGCTGCGGAGCTCTTGTCGCCAATCGCGTCGAAGGAGTCGCTGCAGCAAGTCCTCGTGGATGCTTACTTGGCCAAGAGTTGAACTTTAAACCTTTTTGGGTTTCCTTACTTAGCAGGAATAATCACCCTAAACCCTAGGCCCTAAACCCTAAACCCTAAACCCTAAACCCTAAACCCTACACCCTAAACCCTAAGCTTTTGGCTATTGGAGAAGTAAGGATGTCCTGTGGCTCGCCGGCTTTGCCACGACAGAGGCACCCTCGGGCAGAGAAGCCCGAGACTAGGTATCGATTCGGGATAACTTTTAATTTCCCTGATTGCTTAAATATAGAGCCGATGGAGCCCTAATTCTGAATGATTTTGGGGACTGTTGAAACCCTAAACCCTAAACCCTAAACCCTGAACCCTGAACCCTAAACCCTAAACCCTAAACCCTAAATCGACACCTAGGAGAGGAGTTCAGCAACTTCTGCTCCATCCTGGAGAGGGAGGGCGTCATCTCCAAGCCGCTCCTAGCCTCGGCGCTTGAGACAGAGACTTCTCCAACAGCTGAACTTTAAACTTGTTGGGGTTTAGGGTTTAGGGTTTAGGGTTTAGGGTTTAGGGTTTAGGGTTGGGTTTCCTTATTTCGTAGGAACAGTAAACTTTATTTTTTTTTTTGCCTTGGTTATTGGAGAAGTAAGGAGACGGTGCCCCCATCGGTGTGCAACATCACCATCCTCCGGAAGAAGCAGAACCAGGCCAAGGGACTAAGGGACTAGTAAGTACTAATAAGGAGGGACCCTTGCAAGGGATCTTAGGGCTTCTTTGGTTTAGGGTTTAGGGTTTAGGGTTTAGGGTTTAGGCTTTAGGGTTTAGGGTTTAGGCTTTAGGGTTTAGGGTTTAGGGCTTAGGGTATTATCGCTTAGGGTTATGAAGCAGAGCCAGGCCAAGGGACTAAGGGACGAATAAGGAGGGACCCTTATAAGGGGCCTTCGGGTGTTCTTTGGGGCTTCTGTAGGGGATACCTAGCTTTCTAGGGACTACATAAGGTACGTATCAGGGGTTCTGTAGGGGAAGAAGATTAAGGGTCGCTAGGAGCTAAGACCTAAACCCTAAACCCTAAACCCTAAACCCTAAACCCTAAACCCTAAACCCTAAACCCTAAACCCTAAACCCTAAACCCTAAACCCTAAACCCTAAACCCTAAACCCTACACCCCACACCCCTGAAGGCCAAGACCAAAGCTCGGTACACGGTGGCGAGGTTCAACCTTCTGCGAGAGCACAATGAGGGCTACGCCAGGTCTGGGGTTTAGGGTTTAGGGTTTAGGGTTTAAGGTTTAGGGTTTAGGGTTTGGGTTTGCGGGTTTCGGGTTTCGGGGGTTTCCTAAATTAGGGGGGGGGGGGTACCTTATTGGGGTCCATATTCTGAGGGAATCCTACCATTTGGGGGGGCATTATTATAGTGGTCCCGTATTTTCCTACCCTGAACCCGAAACCCTAAACCCCAAACCCTAAACCCCAAACCCTAAACCCTAAACCCTCCTAGGTTGATGATGCACATCGATCGGCTCCTGCACCTGGAGCTGGATGTCGAAGGCACGGGCGACCAGCTCACAAAGACGCGCGAGAGCGTGACTTGCTGTTGGTTAGCAGGGTTTTGGCTTCAGGGTTTAGGGTTTAGGGTTTAGGGTTTAGGGATTAGGGTTTAGGGTTGAGGGTTTAGGGTTTCGGGATTATACCTGATGACAGTATGTGATCGTGTGTGTCGTCTCACTTCCAGGCATCTGCCAAGCTCCTGGTTCAAAAGGTGTATAGTCCCTTAAAGGATATATATATATATATATATATATAGGGCCCTAGTTCCCTCATTCCCTGCTAACCAACAGTAAGGTGATCGATGACATCATGCTGCTGATGGGCTACAGCTACCTCTGTCCCAACAGGAGGGCGGCTTCCTAAATTAGGCCCCCCTTGTTTTGGGTACCCATCTAAAGGCTGCACCCTAAACCCTAAACCCTAAACCCTAAACCCTAAACCCTAAACCCTAAACCCTAAACCCTAAACCCTAAACCCTTGAAGAGGGGGGACCCTAAGTTACAGAACTACCCAGGATCATCGCGATGGCGATCGACATCTACGAGCGGATCATCATCGAGGAGTTTCTCTGGTCCTTAGTAGGGGATGAGGGAATTAGGGCCCTATGAAGGGATTATATCCCTAAACCCTAAACCCCAAGCCCTAAGCCCTAAACCCTAAACCCTAAACCCTAAACCCTAAACCCTAAGCCCTAAGCCCTAAACCCTAACCCTAAACCCTAAACCCTAAACCCTAAACCCAGCAGCTCAGAGGAGGAGGAGCCAAGTCAGAAGCCTCACGCCATCCTGGCGCTGCTCCGCCGCTTCAGCCGGGACCGGATCTCCAAGGTCGCCTCGTTCCTCGGGGTTTAGGGTTTAGGGTTTAGGGTTTCGGGTTTAGGGTTTAGGGTTTAGGGTTTCGGGTTTAGGGTTTAGGGTTTAGGGTTTAGGGTTTCGGGTTTAGGGTTTAGGGTTTTGGGTTTAGTACCTTGGTAAAGGATTATATAGGCCCTTGTTGGGACATTTCTCCTATGTTCCCCCGATTATTTTTGGGGTTTAAGAGGATCCTCTTAACCCTAAACTCCGAACCCTCAAGCCCCGCCCCTGAGCCCTTATATTCAGGAAGATAATCCCTAAACCCTAAACCCTAAACCCTAAACCCTAAACCCCAAACCCTAAACCCTAAACCCTAAACTCTACCTCCTACCTCCTAAACCCTAAACTCCCCCAAAAGATTTTCTAAGGGGCCATCCAAAGGTTCCTGCTTCATCCCGGGCAGCCGCCGGCGGCCGCAGGCAAAGACGCCAAGGGGCCGGAGCCCAATGTCAGGGCGTCACAGCTCCTCGGTACTTGGCGGTTTAGGGTTTAGGGTTTAGGGTTTAGGGTTTAGGGTTTAGGGTTTAGGGTTTAGGGCTTGGGGCTTGGGGCTTAGGGCTTGGGGCTTAAGATAGCTGTACGTATAACCCACTTACCCCACCTTAAGTGCCCCTAATAGGGTTATAAGCACGGTTGTAAGTACAGTTATAAATGGTTAACAAGTGCCATGATCCTCGGTAGGCCCGTGTGGGACATTTTGACATTTTCCCGTTTTTTTGGGTTGAAGAAGATACCCTGCACCCTGAACCCTAAACCCTAAAACCCTAAAACCCTAAATCCTAGACCCTCAAACTCCTAAACCCTGCAATATTCATGAACCTTTTTCTAGAGGGTCCAAAACCCTAAACCCTAAAACTCCTGAACCCTGCAATGTTCAGGAATATTTTCTTTGATTGGGTTAACAGGATCATATTGAGGAAGTTTTCTCCCTGGGTTTCAGAGGATCATATTTAGGAATATTTTCTCCCTTAAGGAGGTTAAGAGGAGTCATATTTAGGAACTGTTCTCATTTGGTGGGTTTCAGAGGATCATGTTTAGGAATCTGTTCCTACCCTAAACCCTAAACCCTAAACCCTAAACCCTAAACCCTAAACCCTAAACCCTAAACCCTAGATCTAGAGGGCTTTCTAAGGGCCAGCCTAGGTTCCTGGCGACTGCTTCCCTGATCTCTCTGAACCTCGTTGATCTGCGGATGGTCTGGTCCTACCTGGAACCTTGGTGGTAGGGTTTAGGGTTTAGGGGTTAGAGGTTTAGGGTTTAGGGTTTAGGGGTTTAGGGGTTTAGGGGTTTAGGGGTTTAGGGTTTAGGGTTTACGGGTTTAGGGGTTTAGGGGTTTACGGTTTAGGGTTTAGGGTATAAAAATCGGTGTGGTCCTACCTGGAACCTTAGTAGCAGAGTCGATACCCTTTAGCCTTTTTCGGTGCCTCATAAACCCTTGTTAGTAGCAGGGCCGGTGGCCTTTAACCATTTTGGGGGGATTGTTAGTTCCTATACCTGGAACCTTAGTGGTGGAGCAGGTAACCTTTCACCTGTTTAGGGGTATGTTTTAAATTCCCACAAAAATCCCCAAGGTTCACCTTTTGGGGCATGACGATTCCTATACAATCCCCAAGCTGAACCCTTGAGTTTTCTAGGCTACTGCACAACTAAGCTTTGTGGTACTTTACTGTAACTTTAGATCCTTACCTTTTTTGGGTTTATTGGGTTTCTTATTGAGGCAGCTAAAGGTTTAATTTATAGCTACCCTCCTGAGTGCAGCCAAGTAAGGAGCCCAGCGAGAAGAAGATCCATGAGGCGTGGTCTCACTTGAACTTCAGGTATGAGGCCAAGCTGAAAACAGTGACTAGGACCCAGAGCAGGGCCGTTTTTTTTTTTTTAGGGTTTAGGGTTTAGGGTTTAGGGTTTAGGGCTTCCCTTGTGAATCCCCCTAAAAACCAAAAGGGGCACCCTTTTTATTCCTAGGTTACTCCTGGGTCTAGGTGAGCGTCGTGGACCTCAGCGGCAAGCAGAATCTTGCGCGGGACAGGCGCTACTTCAATGGCTGCGCCAAGAACTTCAACCACATGCTCAACCAGAAGATAAGGCCAGTTCTCTCGTACTTTTGTTGACCCCTGTTAGGGGTACCCTAAATTTCCTAAATAAGAGGGGCCGCCTGATGATAAGGACCCCACAAGGGGACCATACTTCTGAGAAGTGACCTAATAAGGCTCGTGGAGGCGATGATCAGCATCAATGACTGGCGCAATGCCTGCGTGATGCTGACGCAGCTCCGCAGGATCTGCCGGCCCTGCATGAACCACTACATTCGACAAGCTCTGTGCGACCTGCTCAAGTGGATTATTGAGCCGCTCCTTCCGAAGCAGCATGGTGTACCCGGCCAGAAGAAGGACGTGCGGCGGTTTGCTTGGGGTCTCGCAATGTTGCCTGCAGGTGAAGGACCCGTTCAGGGACACCTCCGGCAGGCGGCAGATCTGCAAGACTTTGCCCCGGCCTGCAAGCAGGTTTTAGATCACCTGGAATACTACATGCACACGGACAACATCTTGCTGACTCGCATGTGGCAGGTCCTTGGCTTGTCACTGAAGGAGGCTCCTGAAGGCAGCAACACCGCCATGGCCGCGGCATCTGCGAACAGCGCAGCCCCATCCAACCGGATCCTTGACGACCGGCTTGTAGCCATCATCTACAAGCATCTTGGGGAGACTTGGAAATAATACATTTTGTAAGTTTTGGGTATTGAGATTCCGAAGAAACAGTTCAAGTTATGGTTCCAAGTTCAGTAAAGGCACCTGCTGCCGGCCATCTCCATAGCGAAGCCGAACCCCTTCGTGAGCAGCGTGGCGTGGAATGTGCTGAAGCAGCTCACAATCTTCCAGCGCTACATGATCTACAGCTGCTGGGAGACACGGTACAGCCAGTTCATGCTGAAGTACAGCTACGAGGAGGCGAAGTTCGAAGCCAAGAAGATCCTGAAGCGGGTCGTGTCAAGCGACAAGACAACCGAACGGGATCGTGAAGACCCCAATGCCTACAGGCCACATCCCGTGTTTTGTCAACTCTGCCAGACAAACCCCATCCCCATCGTGGAGGTCATGCTCAAGGACATTGAGATTGGATTCAACGTCAACATGATACAGCCCTACGTGGACCTCACGTACCGCTGCTCTGAGCTCATGACCGACATCGTCGGCTACGTCCTCACGCGGAATTGCGAGCGACCAGCCACCGAGACCAAGGTCTTCTTCTCCCCGGCGGACGGCCTCTTGGCGGCTTAGTGGTGCCCTTTACCCCCCTTTTTTTTTTTTGGTTCTGGGCTCCCTTAGAAGGTAAACAACCCCCAAAAAAAAGAGTGCCCTTATGAGAAGATGGTTGCTGGGCTCCCAAGGCCTCATCTCACCCTGGCTCAGCAACTTCGCTGACTTCATCGGCCGCTTCTACAAGAAGCACCCGCAGACGAACCTGGTGGCCATGCTCCTGGTGCTGGCGAAGCGAATGATGCATGACGTGCCGGAGTCCACGGGCAGATACTTCGTAGCTGAGTGAGTGCACTTTACACTTTTTATGGGATATCCTAACCCCCTATAGAACTGAAAGCGTACACTTTTTTTTGGGGGGGGGCTTATGAACTCAGCAACTAAGGATATTCTGCAAAGAAGTTCAAGGGTGAGTCGCTCATCCGGGTGGTCTTGGAGAAGCTCATGGAGCACATGGGCGGCCTCATTGTGGTGAAGGACCCCCTGGTTCTTAGTACTTAGTACCCTTTAAGGAAGTATATAGGGTACCTCATTCCCTCATTCCCTACTAAGAACCAGCCAGAGGATTTCACGATGGAGCAGCTCACCTGCTTGGCTGGGGGACCGCGGTTACGTCTGGAGTCCGTGTCCATTGGCTCACGTCCAGATCCTCAGCGCAAGGAAAAGACAAAGAAGCTAGGTTGGATTTTTGGGAGAGTTTGAATTCATTTCTTGGGTTCGTAAGGGACCCGCACCCATACACAACTCCCCTAAACCCTAAATTCAAATCCCCCAAACCCGCCTGTGCTGGTTCACAGTGCAGTCGCGCTCAGTTGCTCAGACTCAGAGATAGCTCCGAGTAAACCCTAAACCCTAAACCCTAAACCCTAAACCCTAAACCCCAAACCCTAAACCCTAAACCCTAAACCCTAACATTCTTCAAAGGGTTTAAAGGCCAACACAGGAAGGCACTCCTGGACACGATGGTGGAACTCGGCCTGGCCCCTGCGTTGTGGGACTGCCTCAGCCGGCAGAGGCTGTACTTCATGTCGGAAGGTTTCTTGGGGTTGGGGTTTTGGGGTTTAGGGTTTTAGGGTTTAGGGGGTTTGGGGTTTAGGGTTTTGGGGGTTTAGGGTTTAGGGTTGGGATGTTCCCCCTTAGATTCACAGTCCTTAGCAGAGATTATAAAAGGGGACTACTTCCATCATCCCTACTAATGACTGTTAGTGCAAGGGAGAACATCCCAACTTGGTAGGCCAGTGGTACCCCCTTTGCCCTTCTTTTTTTGGTTCAAGGTTCCCTCTTGTAAAGTAGCTATCCCAAGAAGGGTACCCTTATGATGATGATGATGATGATGTGGTAAACCCTAAACCCTAAACCCTAAACCCTAAAACCTAAAACCTAAACCCTAAACCCTAAAACCAAAACCCTAAACATGGTTGCTGTGCTACCAAGGTTTTTCAGAGGTCCACAGCGACGAAGGGTCGCTGAAGATCCTCTGCAAGCTTCTCGACGGGAACATGGAATGCTTCCTCAGCCTCGTGGACTTCCTGTCCCAGGCATGATGCTCATAAGGTTCTTAAGGGGGGAGGGGGTTCATGGGGGGGGGTAGTTACCTAGGGAACCTTCGGGAAGCTTGGGGGTTGTAGGGAGTACTAGTAGGGAACCTTGGGTGACATACCCCCCTTGAACCCCCCCCCCCCTCCCTTAAAGAGCCCCTTTTTTTTACAGGCATCTCCACGCGAGAAGTACATCAAGCTCATGCCAGCCCTCCAGCAGCTCTTCGGCGTGCTAGAACCCAACGTGGCCTATGCGGCGCTAAGGCCGGGGCTGACCCCCTTCGCGCGCGGGAAGGCGCCCATTCCGAAGACGGAGGGAAAGGTCACCATGGTGGCCACACCCGAAGAGACGGACTTGCAGAAGCAGCTGATGCTTAGTGTTGGTTAGCAAGGAATGAGGGAATTAGAGGCCCTTTATGACCCTTTTAAAGGGAGTAGTTTGGGTAGCTCATTCCGACAACTAACCAACAGCAAGGATGGGCATCGCGTTCAAGTGCCTGCCAAAGGCGATTGAGGAGGAGGGCCTCTCCATGGACTTTTACGTGACTTTCTGGCGGCTGTCTTTGCAGGACATCTTCGTGCCTTGGTAGTAAAGTAGAAAACCTTTCAACCTTTTTTGGGGTATTCTAATTCCAATTACAACCCCCTAAACCCTAAACCCTAAACCCTAAGCCTTAAGCCCTAAACCCTAACCTCTAAACCCCTAAACCCTAAACCCTAAACCCTAAACCCTAAATCCCTAAACCCCTAAACCCTAAACCCCCAAGGTGCACCTTTAGTTTCCTAGGCTACGGGGCAACTAAGGTGCCCACTGAGGGCTACGAGAAAGTCTTGGCGAGGATGACGCAAGGCCAGAAGTCCCTGGAGGAGGCAAAAGTCAAGCTGGATCGGAAGCTTATACAAACAGGGTTTAGGGTTTAGGGTTTACGGTTTAGGGTTTAGGGTCACTAGGACCCGGAGAAAGCCCTTATTTCCTTCTTTTAGGGTTGGGGTTCCTTTAGAATCTCCATAAAACCAAAACGGGCACCCTTTTTTATTCCTAGGTTACTCCTGGGTCTAGGAAGTATAACATCGACACCCACAGCCGAGAGTACAAGAACGTGCAACGGAACCTCACGCGACAGAAGGAAGCCTACGACAAGGTTTCTGGGGTTTCGGGTTTAGGGTTTAGGGAAAGGGAACCCTTCTGAACCCTTTTCTGGCTCTCTTAAACAGGGACCCTAGTTCAGAGGGTCTATATCCCCCCCCCCCCCCCCCCTAAAGGTCAAGGAGGAGCAGCTGATGCAGAAGCTGAACTTTGAGAAGGTCTTGGCACGACTGGAGCAGGAGAAGTCCTCGTGGTTCCTGAAGCATTGCCCAGAACCTTGGGGACGAAATGAACCCTAAAAGGCTTTATGGTTCATATTACCCTTAGTAGGAATTACAGTAGTATAGGGTATATGACCCCTAAACCCTAAACCCTAAACCCTAAACCCTAAACCCTAAACCCTAAACCCTAAACCCTAAACCCTAAACCCTAAACCCTAAACCCTAAACCCTAAACCCTAAAGCCTAAAGCCTAAACCCTAAAGCCTAAAGCCTAAACCCTAAACCCTAAACCCTAAACCCTAAACCCTAACCCGAAACCCTAAACCCTAAACCCTAAACCCAGGGTTCATTCCGTCCCCAAGGAAGCCACGCAGACCATGGTGGCCGAGATGATCCTCCCCCGAGCCCTGACGTCCTACGCAGATGCCCTCTTCTGCTGCAAGTTCGCGCGGCTTCTGATTCGGATGAAGACGCCGGGGTTTCTGAGTGGTAGAGTAGAGAGCCTTTATGACCTTTTGGGGGGGTGTTCGAGTTCTTACACAACCCCCAAGGTTCACTAAACCCTAAACCCTAAACCCTAAACCCTAAACCCTAAACCCTAAACCCTAAACCCTAAACCCTTGACCCTAAACCCTAAACCCTAAACCCTAAACCCTAAACCCTAAACAAGGTTTCTGGTGCTGGACTTTTACAACAGCTGGACCGTCATGCTCACCATGAACCTCCGGAGCTGCACCGAAGTTGAGGCGCAAATGTAGGGTTTAGGGTTTAGGGTTTAGGGTTTAGGGTTTAGGGTTTAGGGTTTAGGGCACCGCAGTGGAGGCCCAAATTTGCGGCCACTTCCTCAACGAGATGATGTCCTACATCTGCAGCTTGCGGAAGCCTTGCAGCCCAGCGGTACCCTTTTTGCTTTCTTTTTAGGGTTTAGGGTTTAGGGTTTAGGGTTTAGGGGTCTGGCTTCCCTTGTAAGACAACCAACCCAACAAAGGGTGCCCTAAGCCCTAAGCCCGAAACCCTAAACCCGAAACCCTAAACCCTAAACCCTAAACACTTAACCCTTAACCCTAAACCCTTAACCCTGAGCCCTAAGCCCTAAGCCCTAAGCCCTAAACTTCCCAAAAGGGTGCCCCTATGAAAAGATGGTTACTGGGCCACCCAAGGAAGAGCGAGAAGGCCTTCGAGGCCGAGATGAAGGAGAACCCTTGCTTCCACCGGCACCACTACGAAAACACCACCGACACTTGGGGTTTAGGGTTTAGGGTTTAGGGTTTAGGGTTTAGGGTTTAGGGGTTTGGGTTTAGGGCTTTGGAATAGATTTAACTGTAGAAGGGACCCTATCTACGAACCCAGAGAGCCCAAGACCCCTGAATTAAGGAAGATGCCTTAAAGTAGGGATCCCTCATAGGGGTTAAGATGTTTCTTTATGCATGTATGGCAACCCCCCCCCCCCCCCCCCCCCCCCCCCCCCCCCCCCCGCCCCCCCCCCCCCCCCCCCCCCCCCCCAAAGACCTACCTCAAGATCAACCTCTCCATAAAAGCCGAAGAAAAGCCTGAGTTGCGAGACTGCCGCCCCATCGGTTCCACTTTGTACTGATTCTTTGCATCCCATGGGAGGCAAGACCCACAAACATGGGCATTTTCTTAGGAAAAACGTGAAGAGAATTACAATCAAAAAGTGCGCCGGGTTCCCTATATTTTCTGTGTGTGTGTCTAGTAGAAGAAAGGACGGTAGCAGCAATTGTTCGAGAAACTAACACACACTACGAACTAAACAAAAAGATACAAAACCATGGGGACACGATGACCCGAACATAGGGAACAAGTCTCCCAATTGTGTGTGTGTGTGTGTGTGTGTGTGTGTGTGGGTGTTTGTTTTGGGTGTAGGTTGTTGTTTCTAAACAATCTCACTCAACAACAAAAACCAACAGAAACACAAGTTTGGGACACTATCCTGGGGGACTAGTCTTCCTTTTTTTTTGTTATTCTTTTGGTTTTTGGGAAGACTGTGACCTGGAGACGGAACCAAACAGATATATGCTAGACGAAACAGTAAAACACCACGAAAAAAAACAACTAAAGCCAACATCTGGGGAGACTAGCGCACTGTCTGCGGGGCACAGTCTCCGCAACCCCCCAAAAACACCCAAAACAAAACAATTAAAATTGGGAGACTGGTCCCCTGAATTCGGGTCATAATCTCCAAATATTTTCTGTTTTTTGGGGTTTCGGGGAGACTGTGACCTGGAGACGGAACCAAACAAAACTCCCCCAAAACCAAAAAAGCCAAAAACATAAAAAAAAAAAAACAAAAACACTAAAAACAAAAACAACTGGGGGACTAAAAAAACCAAAAAACCAAAAGCCAAAAAACACCCAACAATTGGGAGACTATGACCCGGACCCAGGGGCTACAGTCTCCCACTTTTTTTTCTTGTTTGTTGTGTTTTTTTTGTTTTTTTTTCTTGTTTTTTGGTTTGGGCAAGTCCCCCAAAGTTTTTGTTATTTTCTTGCTTTTTTTTGTGTTTTAGTTTTTGTTCCTTGCTCTTGGATTCGTGCGGGGTAGGTCTTGGGGGGGGGGGGGGTAGCTTATATAATATATGTATATATCCCTAAAGGAATATACGGCCTTAATTATACAGAGATCCCTTGGTAGGATTTCACGCACATTCCTCATTCAAGAGGTTTAGGGTTTAGGGTTTTAGGGTTTAGGTTAGCGGCCAACCCCAGGACACCCGAGTTTGCCAAGCACACCGACATCGTGAGAGGCCACAACAAGTGGCTTAGGGATACTGGGAAGATTGGTTTTCAAAATGATGGTCCCTTCTTGGATCCCTATGATAGTACGGCACCTAGTATTTAGGGTACCCCAAAAGTTCCCCCTTACACCAGCAGTCCTTAATGGGAATTCCTAGTCCCCCCCTATTATAATCCCTATTCAGGACTGTTAGTATAAGGGGGAACATCCCAAACTATAAACCCTAAGAAACAACAAGAGCTAGAGTTTTGGCTAGGGTTTTCCAAGTTCGGTTGGGTTACCCTAAACCCTAAACCCTAAACCTAAACCCTAAACCATTAAGGTGGGGGGAAGGATCCTCAAAGCCCTGCGGCAAAACCTCGAGTCAGACGAGTGGACGGACAAGCGCAATGCCCTCCTCCTCCTCAGCAGCTTAGTCTTAGAGGGTTTAGAGGGTTAGGGTTAGGGTTTAGGTTTAGGGTTTTTAGGGTTTAGGGTTTAGGGTTTAGGTTTAGGGTTTAGGTTAGGGCCCGCCCCCCCCCCCCCCCCTCCCCCTAAATGGCAGGATTCCCTTCTTATAAGGACCCCAAGAAGTTACCCCATATTTTCGGGTTGTTTGGAGGATTGCAATCTCTATCTAATCCCCAAGGTTAGCTCTTGAGTTTTCTCGGCTACTGGACAGCTCAGGCAAGTCATGCGAGACCTATCCGATCGTGGAGAAGTACGCCAGGACGGTGCTGCAGTGTGTGGAGAACGTTCGGGAAACTGGGTTTTGGAGTACTATACTTTAATCATTTTTTGGTTCTGGGTTCCGATTATAGCTACTTAATACCTAAAAGTAATATACTTTTTCTCCCGGGTCTACTCCAAAGCTGAGGAAAGAGAGAAGGCCAGCGACCTGAAGACGCTGGCAGCCTCGCTCGCCACGAAGCTCAAAGCTCAGAGCAAGAACTGGATCAAGACCGAGGCTCTGGCGCGCCAGTAGTAACCCTTCTCTTTTTGTTTTTGGGTTTAGGGTTTAGGGTTTAGGGTTTAGGGTTTGGGGGGGGGGGGGGGGGGGGGGGGAAGGAACAAAAAAGGGGTGGCACCCCTTAATTTGGGGGGTTTGAGTACGTTTTATACAAGGGATCCAAGAACCCCCGCTTTCCCTAAACCCTAAACCCTAAACCCTAAACCCTAAACCCTAAACCCTAAACCCTAAGCCCTAAGCCCTAAGCCCTAAGCCCTAAACCCTAAACCCTACACCCTAAACCCTAAACCCTAAACCCTAAACCCTAAACCCTAAACCCTAGCTAAGGAGAGCAAGGAGGCTCCGAAGGCGGCGGCCAAGGCCAAAGAGGCCCCCAAGGCCAAAGCCGGCAAAGAGGCACCCAAAGAGACGACCTCCAAGGAGCCTCAAGAATGGTTTCGGGTTTAGGGTTTAGGGTTTAGGGTTTAGGGTTTCGGGCATAGGGTTTGCAGTTGAGGGCTTAGGATGTAGGGTTTTAGGGTTTAGGGTTTAGGGCTGAGGGCCTTAGGGTTTAAGGTTTGGGGCGCCAAGAAGGACGGAGAAGCAAAGAAGGAGGTGGCAAAGACGAAGGAGGCACCCAAAGCGAAGGAAGCCACAAAGGACAGCGCGCCGTCCGCCCCAAAAGCAAAGAAGGAGTCTAGGGATGCAAAAGAGACGAAGCCCAAGGAGGAGCGCGAGCACAAACGAAGGCCGGATGCTGTGCGGTCTTCAAATGGTGGAGGTGCAGGGGTGGCTTAGGATACTTGGGAATTCTTTTTTTTTTTTTTTTAAAATCTTTTCGGTACTATATTCCTAATTAAGAGACAGCTAAATATGAATATAAACAAATAAATTTATATATATATATGTATATATATGTGTGTGCATATATATATATGTATATATATATATATATATATATACATATATATATATATATGTGTGTGTTTTTTGGCTAGGGTTCCAAGTTCAGTTAAGGTGGAGGAGCGCCCAGAGAAGCGGGCGCGAAGGGAGGAGGATGCCACGAAGCGGCGGGATGACGACGTCGTCGTGATCGCGTCGCCATCCCACCGGCCTGTCCACAGGAGTGCAGGCAGCAGCGCGCGGAACTCCCTGTCCGTGCAGCCGTCCGGAGGCGATCGCGAAGGGCGCAGCAGCAGAAGCGTGGTGAGCAGCGGCGGATATGAATCTGGGTAGGCCCGATTGGCATATTGATTTTCTGTTCTTAGGGTCTTAGCGCACCCTAAACCCTAAACCCTAAACCCTAAACCCTAAACCCTAAACCCTAAACCCTAAACCCTAAACCCTAAACCCTAAACCCTAAACCCTAAACCCATTTTCAGAGGGTTCAACGGTCCCACTTAGGAACCGTACTCCCGACGTTCTGGCGCCCAGCATGGCCCCGCCAGGCACGAACGGCGGAGGTGACTGACTGCGGCCTCGGGGAAAACCAGCGTGGCTTAGGGTTTAGGGTTTGGGGTCTAGGGTTTAGGGTTTAGGGTTAAGGGGGCTTTAGGGTTTAGGGTTTCGGGTTTAGGGTTGCGTGCTGGCTATCGCTGCAAGCCCAGGAGCGAAAGGGTTTTGGGTTGAGGATTTAGGGTTTAGGGGTCTATCCTGAGGCAATCCTGGTTTCGAGGGGTCTGTCTACGTCGCGCTGGTGTAAGCTTGCGATGATTAATGGAACATCCGGGCACCTGAACGCCAGCTGTTATGTTGATCGGCGACCCTAAACCCTAAACCCTGAACCCTAAACCCTAAACCCTAAACCCTAAACCCTAAGAGGTTTGGGCCCCAAAGCTGCCTGGGAAGCTGGGTATGGGGTATGATTGTGGGCTCGGGATCTGCGGTCATGTGGGACTACTTGCCACCGAGTCGGACGAAGAGCCTCCGCCCGCTTGTTCTAGTGTGACAGTCGCAGCTCTAGACTCCGACACCCTAACCCCTAAGCCCTAAGCCCTAAGCCCTAAACCCTAAACCCTAAACCCTAAACCCTAAACCCTAAACCCTAAACCCTAGCTGGTGCAGAGGCTGGTCCACGGTGGGTTTTGTTGGGCTTCGCAACTTGCCAGAGGGGACCACAACACTACGCCCCAGATCCGCCAAAGCAAGCGTCGTTTAGGGTTTTGGGTTTAGGGTTTAGGGTTTAGGGTTTAGGGTTTTAGGTTTAGGGTTTGATGTTCCCCCTTATACTTGCAGTCCTTGGATTATAGCACCCCCCCCCACTATAATCATCCCTATAAGGGACTGTTAGTAGTATAAGGGGAACATCCCAACCATAAACCCTACACCCTGGACCCTAAACCCTAAACCCTAAACCCTAAACCCTAAACCCTAAGCACGATCCCTAAACCCCAAACCCTTCAAAGCAAGAACCGAACACCCCCAACATCAACCCATGCGAAGTGCACTCGCAGGCCTGGACGAGGGTGAGGTGGGCCTGGGTTTAGGGTTTAGGGTTTAGGGTTTGGAGCTTAGGGTTTAGGGTTTAAGGGAAAAGGGGCTTAGGGTTTAGGTTTTGGGGTTTGGAGTTTGGGGTTTAGGGTTTGGGGTTTAGGGTTTGGGGTTTAGGGTTTGGGGTTTGGAGGCCTCCAAAGTCCGTTGCTCAAAAAGGGTTTGGGGTTTTGGGGGGGGGACGGAGGGGTAAGGGGTTCAGGGAGCTCGGGGGTTTCGACGTCTTCGGGTGTTTTTTGACAAGGGGGTTGTGAAGTCGTACAAGATGCCTTCAGGAGCTCTACTTGGAGGTTCAGGGTTTATTATAAACCAACTCGAACTGCCCCTTAAGTGCCCTAAACCCTAAACCCTAAACCCTAAACCCTAAAACCCCGACGAAGCCGGAGGCGCAAGCCGAAGAAGGGACCCGGGGGGGCCGGGAGGGTTAAGGGCTGAGGGTTTAGGGTTTAGGGTTTAGGGTTTAGGGTTTAGGGTTTAGGGTTTAGGGCGATTTAGGGTGATTTAGGATTTAGGGTTTGGGGTTTAGGGTTTAGGGGAGAAAGGGCTTAGGGGTTTGGGTTTAGGGCTCAGGGTTCAGGGAGGAAGTTTTTGGGTGGTCTTTGGGGCTTCATTCAGGGTTGCCGTCGCGGCCCCCCAAACCCTCGACCCTAAACCCCGAAAAGTTTAGGTTTAGGGGTTAGGGTTTAGGGAAAAGGGTTTAGGGAAAAGGGTTTAGGGTTTAGGGTTTAGGGTTTAGGGTTTAGGGTTTAGGGTTTAGGGTTTAGGGTTTAGGGTTTAGGGTTTAGGGTTTAGGGTTTACTTGTAATGACAGGGCCCTTGAGGAGACCCTTAGTTGCCCTCAAGCCCATGAGCCCTTGAGCAACTAAGCCCCCAAGATCTGAAAACCAAACTAAACCCAAACTCTAAGACCCTAAACCCTAACCCCTAAACCCGAAACCCGAAACCCTAAACCCTAAACCCTAAACCCTAAACCCTAAACCCTAAACCCTAAACCCTGCCTGGGGAGGCCCGCGCCGAGCGGCAAGTTCCTGAAGCCCCAAGATGCCCTGAAGCACTCGGACGCCTTCCGCTCCATGCGCCTGTGAGGTGGTTTCATCCCTAAACCCTAAACCCTAAACCCTAAACCCTAAACCCTAAGCCCTAAACCCTAAACCCTAAACCCTAAACCCTAAACCCTAATTTTGGGGTACCATACTTTACTGCTTGCTTCGGTTTTGGGTTTCTATTGTATCTACTTGTACCCTAAAAAGTGTATACGTTTTTCCAGGCTCTACTCCAAAGTAGGGCTTGAGAGGATTCTGGGGGATGTTTGGGGTTGAGGGTTTCGGGTTGAGGTTCTCGGGATGTTTGGGGTTTAGGGCTTGGGGCTGTTTGGGGGTTATGATTTAAGGTTAGGGTTTTGGGGTTTGAGGGTTTGGGGATGTTCAGGGTGTTAGGGACTCAGTTCCGGGTTCAGAAGGGTTTAGGGTTTTTTAGGGTTCAGGGTTTGGGCCAGAATGTCCGGAGCCCGGTATTCAACAAAGTTTAAGGTCTAGCGTTCAAGAAGAGTTTTAGAGCCCTAGGGTTGAGGGAAGCACTTCGTAGCCCGGATACAGAAAAGGGTTGGGGGAAGGGGTTGAGGTTGATTGAGCTGGGGGGTTGCGGGGCATGGTTCAGAAGGGATCTTTGGGATTTAGGTTTAGCGTTTAGGGTTTCGGGGGTTGAGGGTTCAAAAGGGTTTGGGAGGAAGCTTCTCCAAAGTTCGAGGTTTTGGCTAGGTGGGTTGTGCAGGGCCTGGGTCAAAATAGCAGGGGTAGCCACGAAGGGGCCGTCAGAATAGTGCAAAGTTCTTGTGCTTGGACCCCCTAAATGGGTAGTACCCCTATGTTGGGAAACCCTAAATGAACTCTAAACCTTCTTTTGCCAAACCCCAAACCCTAAACCTTAAACCATGCACCTTAAGCTGTGTGAGACACTCAACCCTTGCTGAGCAGCGACTTCAAGCTTCTACTTGAAGGCTCCCTGGGGAGTGATAGGCAGGACCTCAAGGCTTTCCTAACCCTAAACCCTAAACCCTCAACCCTCAACCCTAAACCCAAAACCCTAAACCCAAAACCCTGAACCCTGAACCCTCAACCCTCAACCCTAAACCCTAAACCCTAAGCCCTAAACTCCAAACCCTAAGCCCTAAACCCTCAACCCGACATCGGCCAAGGTACATGGGCTACACTGCACCCTGGGCCAACTCTAAGGTTTAGGGTTTAGGGTTTAGGGTTTAGGGTTTAGGGTTTAGGGTTCAGGGCATTCGGGTTCTCAAAAGATTTGCAGAATTTGGGGTCTTGGGCCTAGGGGCTTGGCGCTGAAAGAGCCCGGCGTTGCGACTTTGGGGTTCAGGGTTCAGGGTTTGGGGGTTTAGGGTTTAGGGTTTAGGGTTTGGGGTTTGGGGTTTGGGGTTTAGGGTTTTGGGGTTTAGGGTTTAGGGTTTTGGGGTCATTTTGGGTGCGGGCTGCCTCCACAGGCCGAGGTCCTATCGCGTCATGATGCAGCTGATGCATTGCACAGTTGGGGTTCCTTTCGGGGTTCCTTTGGTCGGCGAACTCTGGCCAACCAAAAGGAAACGCAACGAAACCCACTGGGAAGCACATAAAGAGTTCACGTCATTCCCTTTTCAGGGGCACGGGCACCCCGAGTTCTACACGGCATCTGTGTCCACAGAAGGGGCACCCTTCTCTCCTCCCGCGCCCGAAGCTGAAGCCTTAACCTGGGGAGGTTCCGGAAATGGCGGCACCCTTTCTTTAAAGGATTGAAGAACTTTGCGGCATTTTCAATGTGAAACAGTTATTTTTGGTTTTATTTTGTTTTAAATAAATTGAGTCTTTGTTTAAGTGCCCATGTGCCACCCAATACCCATTACTTGGAAGCCCCCCCGCCCCCCCCCCCCCCGAATGAGGCGAAAAGCAGCGGCAACCGAAGGAGCCTTCTCGCCGAGGCGTCGCCCTCTCTGTGTGACTTTTGCAGTAGGTTTTTGGGTTTAGGGCCTAGGGTTTAGGGTTTAGGGTTTAGGGTTTCGGGTGCGTGCCTTTTGAAGTAGGGGGGTTGGGATAATCCCCCTTACGCCTAAGGGTTCGGGGATCATCCTTGGTTTCGGAGAGCGAAAAAGAGAGCCTGCCATCTGTTCCCTTTTTGTAATGTAGCTTGCTCCAAAAAGGGTCCCTCATTATGAGATTGTTGCTGGGCTACCAAGTGTCTAAAAGAAGCAATCTCAAGGAGTGGGTGTCAGCGCCCCCGATATGTTGACCACAGCGAAAATTCTGGAATTTCCTGTCGAATTCCCTTTGGTGCTCTTCGTAGGGGTTCTTATACGAATGGCGGACCACATTCCACAAGTAGCCCCTAAACCCTAAGCCCTCAAGTGGTGCCAGGCTGCCAGGCAGGTTGGGAAAAAAGGCCCTCAGACCTAAACCCTCAACATTCAGCCTGCATTACTTGGGGGGCAGAATCCTACCCCCTCCTATCAGTAGGAAACCGCTGCAGAACCCTGAGCGCACCCAAAAGCTTTCAAGGAAGGGCCCTAAAGGCCTTACTTGGAGTTCATGGCAGTTTTCAGCCAAATATAAGTGTACTTATCGTCCACTTATAAGCCCCTTAAGTGCCCTAATTTGGTTATACGTACAGTTATGAGTACAGTTATAAGTACAGTAAAAGCTTATGAAGCACCAAAGCCCTAAATCCCTGAAATCTCCGCAAGGGTTTGAGGATGCCTAGACCCTTTTTAACCCTAAACCGTAAACTCTAAACCCTGCACCCTAAACCCTTAACCCTAAACCCTAAACCCTAAACCCGAACACTTAGAGCCGGGAGGATACCGCAGAGGAGGTGGCGAAAGCCCACCTCAGAGACCTCCGCACCTTCTCGCAGCCGGCAGTGCCCTGGACAGAAATGGCTCTGGGTTTAGGGTTTAGGGTTGAGGGTTTAGGGTTTAGGGTTTAGCAAACCTT